ATTAGAAACCCCGGGGGCCAATGAAGACAAAGCAGGCAGCCCCTGTTGAAATGGGGACTTAAGTTCTAAACCCCGGGGGCCAAGGAAGAGAAAGCAGGCATACCCGGGTGCAATGGGGACTTTAGTTTGAAACCCAGCGGCCAATGAAGAGAAAGCTGGCACCCCCGTATGAAGAGGGACTTCAATTCAAAAATCCGGGGGCCAGTGAAGAAAAAGCTGTCACCCCCGGGTGAATTGGGGACTTCAGTTCAAAACCTCGGGGGTCAATGAAGAGAAAGCTTGTACACCTCAGTGCAATGGGGACTTCAGATAGAAACCCTGGGGCCCAATGAAGAGAATGCAGGCACCCCAAAGGGGAAATGAGGACTTGAATTAGAAACCCCGGGGGCCAATGAAGAGAAAGCAGGCAACCCCTTGTGAAATAGTGACTTCAGCTCAAAACCCTGGGGACCAATGAAGAGAAAGCAGGCACCCCCAGATGAAATGGGGACTTCAGTTTGAAACCCCGGGGGGACAATGAAGAGAAAGCAGGCACACCTGGGTGCAATGGGGACTTCAGTTCGAAACCCTGGGGCCAATGAAGAGAAAGCAGTAACACTTGGATAAAATGGGGACTTCAGTAACAAACCCCGGGGTCCAATGAAGAGAGAGCCGGCACCCCCGTGTGAAATGGGGACTTGAATTAGAAACCCTGGTGGCCAATGAAGAGAAAGCAGGCACCCCCTTGTGAAATAGTGACTTCAGTTCAAAACCCCGGGGCCAATGAAGCGAAAGCAGGCACACCTGTGTACAATGGGGACTTTAGTTCGAAACCCGGGGTCCATGAAGAGAAATCCGACACCCCCGTGTGAAATGGGGACTTGAACTAGAAACCCCGGGGGCCAATGAAGAAAAAGTTGGCACTCGGGGGTTAAATGGAGACTTCAATTAGAAATCCCGGGGGCCAATAAAGAGAAAGCAGGCACCCCCGGGGAAAATAGGGACTTGAGTTTGAAACCCCAGGGGCCAATGAAGAGGAAGGAGGCACACCTGTGTGAAATGGGGACTTTAGTTTGAAACCCCAGGGGCCAATGTAGAGAAAGCAGGCACATCTGGGTAAAATGTGCACTTCAGTTATTAACCCCAGGGACCAATGAAGAGAAACACGGCAGCCTCGTGTGAAATGGGGACTTCAATTGAAATCCCGGGGGCCCGTGAAGAGAAAGCTGGCAACCCTGGGTGAAATGAGGACTTCAGTTCAAAACCTCGGGGGTCAATGAAGAGAAAGCATGCACACCTGGGTGCAATGGGGACTTTAGTTGGAAACCCCCAGCGCCAATGTAGAGAAAGCAGGCACATCTGGGTCAAATGGGGACTTCAGTTAGAAACGCCGGGGCCCAATAATGAGAAAGCCGGCACCCTGGTGTGAAATGGGGACTTCATTCGAAAACCCGCGGGCCAGTGAAGAGAAAGTTGGCACCCCTGGGTTAAATGAAGACTTCAATTAGAAATCCCGGGGGCCAATGAAGAGATAGCAGCCACTCTCTGGGGAAAAAGGGACTTAAGTTGGAAACCCTGGGGGCCAATGAACAGCAAGCAGGCTTCCCGGGGTGAAATCTGGATATCAGTTGGAAACCCCAGGGGCCAAGAAAGAGAAAGCAGGCACCCCCGGGTAAAATAGGGACTTGAGTTAAAAACCCCGGGGGCCAATGAAGAGAAAGCAGGCACACCTGGGTGAAATGGGGACTTTAGTTCAAAACCCCGGGGGCCAATGTAGAGAAAGCAGGCACATCTGGGTGAAATGTGGACTTCAGTTAGAAAACCCGGGGGCCAGTGAAGAGAAAGCCGGAACCCCTGTGTGAAATGGGGACTTCAATTCAAAAACCCTAGGGCCAGTGAAGAGAAAGCCTGCACCCCCGGGTGAAATGGGGACTTCAGTTCAAAACCTCGGGGGTCAATGAAGAGAAAGCATGCACACCTGGGTGCAATGGGGACTTCAGTTCGAAACCCCGGGGTCCAATGAAGAGAAAGCACGCAACCTAGGGAGAAATGTGGACTTCAGATTGAAACCCTGAGGCCCAATGAAGAGAATGCAGCCACCCCAAAGGGGAAATGGGGATTTCAATTAGAAAACCCGGGGGCCAAAGAAGAGAAAGCAGGCAGTCCCGGTTGAAATGGGGACTTCAATTCAAAACCCCGGGGGCCAATGAAGAGAAAGCAGGCACCCCAAAGGGGAAATGGGAACTTCTATTAGAAACCCCGGGGTCCAATGAAGAGAAAGCAGGCAGTCCTGGTTGAAATGGGGACTTCAGTTCAAAACCCCAGGGGCCAATGAAGAGAAAGCAAGCACACCTGGGTACAATGGGGACTTTAATTCGAAACCCCAGGGGCCAATGACGAGAAAGCAGGCAACCCCGCGTGAAATGGGGACTTCAGACCGAAACCCCAGGGCCAAATGAAGAGAAAGCAGGCACCCCAAGGAGGAAATGGGGACTTCAGTTAGAAACCCCGGCGCCCAATTAAGAGAAAGCAGGCACACCTGGGTGCAATGGGGACATCAGTTCGAAACCCTGGGGGCCAATGAAGAGAAAGCAGTCACACTTCAATGAAATGGGGACTTGAGTTAGAAACTCCGGGGCCCTATGAAGAGAAAGCCGGCACCCCAGTGTGAAATGGGGACTTGAATTAGAAACCTCAGGGGGCCAATGAAGAGAAAGTTGGTACCCTGGGGTTAAATGGGTACTTGAGTTAGAAATCCCGGGGGCCAATGAAGAGAAAGCAGGCTCCCCAGGGTGAAATGGGGACATGAATTCGAAACCCCGGGGGCCAATGTAGAGAAAGCAGGCACCCCCGGGTGAAATGGGGACTTCAATTAGAAACCCCGGGGCCAATGAAGACAAAGCAGGCACCCCCGGGTAAAATGGGGACTTCAGTTCGAAACCCCGGGGGCCAATGAAAGCAGGCACACCTGGGTGCAATGGGGACTTCAGTTAGAAACCCTGGGGCCCAATATAGAGAAAGCCGGCAACCCCGTGTGAAATGGGGACTTGAATTAGAAACCCCGGGGGCCAATGAAGAGAAAGGTCGCACCCCGGGGTTAAATGGAGACTTCAGTTAGAAATTCCGGGGGCCAATGAAGAGAAAGCAGGCACCCCCTGGGGAAAAGGGGACTTAAGTTACAAACCCCGGGGGACAATGAACAGAAAGCAGGCTCCCCCGGATGAAATGGGGACATCAATTCGACAACCCGGGGGCCAGTGAAGAGAAAGCTGGCACCCCCGGGTGTAATGGGGACTTCAGTTGAAAATCCCGGGGGTCAATGAAGAGAAAGCATGCACACCTGGGTGCAATGGGGCTTTAGTTCGAAACCCCGGGGGCCAAAGTAGAGAAAGCAGGCAAGCCCGGGAGAAATGGGGACTTCAGATTGAAACCCCGGGGCCCAATGAAGAGAAAGCAGGCACCCCAAGGGGGAAATGGGGACTTCTGTTAGAAACCCCGGGGGCCAATGAAGAGAAGGCAGGCACCCCGGTGTGAAATGGGTACTTCAGTTCGAAACCTTGGGAGCCAATGAAGCGAAAGCAGGCACCCCCAGGTGAAATGGGGACTACAGATCGAAACTGCGGGTGCCAATGAAGAGAAAGCATGCACACATGGGTGCAATGGGGACTTTAGGTCGAAACCCCCGGGGCCAATGAAGAGAAAGCAGGCACCCTCGGGTGAAATGGGGACTTCAATTCGAAACCCCGGGGTCCAATGAAGAGAAAGCAGGCACACCTTGGTGCAATGGGGAGTTCAGTTCGAAACCACGGGGTTCAATGAGAAGAAAGCTGGCACCCCCGTGTGAAATGGGGTATTCAATTAGAAACCCCAGGGGGCCAAGGAAGAGAGAGCAGGCACTGCAGGTGCAATCAGGACTTCAATTCAAAAACCCGGGGGACTATGAAGAGAAAGCAGACACACCTGGGTGCCATGGGGACTTCAGTTAGAAACCCTGGAGCCCAATGAAGAGAAAGCCGGCACCCCCGTGTGAAATGGGGACTTGAATTAGAAACCCCGGGGGCCAATGAAGAGAAAGCTGGCACCCTGGGGTTAAATGGAGACTTAAGTTCGAAATCCCAGGAGCCAATGAAGAGAAACCTGGCACCCCTGGGTGAAATGGGGACTTTAGTTCAAATCCCCGGCGGCCAATGAAGAGAAAGCATGAACACCTGGGTGCAATGGGGACTTGAGTTCGAAACACCGGGGGCCAATGAAGAGAAAGCAGGCACCCTCAGCTGAAATGGTGACTTCAGTTGGGAAAACCCAGGGTGCAATGAAGAGAAAGCAGGCACCCCAAGGGGGAAACGGGGATTTCTATTAGAAACCCCGGGGGCCAATGAAGAGAAAGCAGGCACCCCCAGGTGAAATGGGGACTTCAGTTCGAAACCCCGGGGGCCAATGGAGAGAAATCAGGCACACCTGGGTGCAATGGGGACTGTAGTTCAAAACCCCGGGGGCCAATGAAGAGTAAGCAGGAACACCTGGGTGAAATGAAGACTTAGTTAGAAACCCTGGGGCCCAATGAAGAGAAAGCCGGCACCATAGTGTGAAATGTGGACTTCAATTAGAAATCCCGGGGCTCAATGCAGAGAAAGCAGTCAGACCTGGGTGAAATGGGGACTTCAGTTAGAAACCCCGGGGTCCAATGAAGATAAAGCCGGTAACCCCTGGTGAAATGGGTACTAGAATTAGAAATCCCGGGGGCCAATGAAGAGAAAGCAGGCACGCCTGGGTGCAATGGGGACTTCAGTTCGAAACCCTGGGGTCCAAAGAAGAGAAAGCAGTCAACTTGGAAGAAATGGGGACTTCAGTTAGAAACCCCGGGGCCCTGACCGCTGCGGTTTCTGTTTGCCGGCTGGAAGCGCGTGCCTTCGTCCGGGGACCTGGCTATGGCGCTGCAGCTGTCCCGGGAGCAGGGCATCACCCTGCGCGGGAGCGCCGAGATCGTTGCCGAGTTCTTCTCGTTTGGCATCAACAGCATTTTATATCAGCGTGGCATATATCCATCTGAAACTTTTACTCGTGTGCAGAAATACGGACTCACTTTGCTTGTAACTACTGATCTTGAGCTCAAAAAATACCTAAATAATGTGGTGGAACAGCTAAAAGATTGGTTGTACAAGTGTTCGGTTCAGAAACTGGTTGTAGTTATCTCAAATATTGAAAGTGGTGAGGTCCTTGAAAGATGGCAGTTTGATATTGAGTGTGACAAGACTGCAAAAGACGATAGTGCACCCAGAGAAAAGTCTCAGAAGGCTATCCAGGATGAAATCCGTTCAGTGATCAGACAGATCACAGCTACAGTGACATTTCTGCCACTATTGGAAGTTTCTTGTTCATTTGATCTGCTGATCTATACAGACAAAGATTTGGTTGTACCTGAAAAATGGGAAGAGTCTGGACCCCAGTTCATTACCAATTCTGAGGAAGTCCGCCTTCGCTCATTTACCACTACAATCCACAAAGTAAATAGCATGGTGGCCTACAAAATTCCTGTCAGTGACTGAGGATGAGATGAGGCAGATCATATAGTATGTAATTTTTAAATGTGGTTTTCCTGAAACCAGATCAACTATATATAGTTGAATGTTTCATTTCATTAGTTGTTAAACGAGGAAAACCGTTGTACTTTACTGAACTGTGTGTGATTGTCCCATTTTGGGGGTACCTTTTGATTTAACCATAGGATTGACATAGTTTATTGCACAGTGTTCAGAAGGA